CTGCTGTAGTTGCTCGTGTTCTTCTTCTTCCACATTCACCTGATCGTTTATGAGTTGTGTACAATGCGTTTCTGATAATATGTTTACATCTGAATTACTTTTTGGATCTTCTTCTCGTGAACCGCCTTCCTTTAAGTCATCTTCTAGAAATATAATGTCTCGTGCCTTAATTACTCTTCCAGGTCGTTGAGTATCTGCAAGTCTGTATCCTTTGGTGTGTTCACAATAACCGACCATTATATATTTCTTTGATTTTTAATATTTTAATGTTGGGATTATAATATATTTAACAGTGTTTAAAAAATTTTAAATAATGAATGAACTTGTTATCATATAGTATAAAGAAGAGATAATTAATATCAATATTTGGTGTTAAACTAAAAATTAGGATTCAAAATGGGTTTAACGTAGAAAGTAGTTGTAACGGCGATGCGTCGCGTGTCAGATTACGCTCGCCGGATCCAGTTTAGTTCTTTGTTTCTTGGGCGTATGCATATAGGCTCTGCATCCAAAGACCTTCAAGTTGCTTGACCTTTGTTTCTGACTACATTTCTTCTGGAGTCGTTCCAGGGACAGCAACTATCGGGCTCCGATTTTTTATATAAATCGCCATCACTACCGCCTCACCCCAATATTTCTTCTCCAAACCAGAGTCTTGTAATAGAGATCTTGTCTTTTTTATCACAGTGCGATTCACTCTCTCCGATACACCATTTTTTTCTGGTGTATAAGAAGCCGTGGTTTCATGTACTATGCCATGCATTTTCAAATAATCTTGAAAAGTCTGATTGCAATATTCTAATCTATTATCCGTCCTTATTTTCTTGATCTTCAAGTCAGTCTGTTTTTCTACACATTCATTCTGAATTCCACGAATTTATCCATATCTGACTTTTTGATTTGATTAGATAATCAAAGATTTAATAAATAACGAGCTCCGCTCCAAGTGCATTCACTCATCGGACTGCATAGATCCGAATATATCAGTTCCAATTCCTCTTTAGCTCTTCTCGTCTTATCTTTTAGAAATACACGTCTGTTTTCCTTTGATACACGGAATGCAGTTTCTTAAATCTTTTTCTTCTGGAAAGTTAATTCCGATAACTAATCCATTTTTCAACATTTGCATATATTTTTGGCTAACGTACGCTAATCTTCTGTGCCATACATTCTTTGATATCATTGCAGTCATGGCCACAGATCCCTGGAATCTACTTGTTGAATTTATATTTTGCTCCAGTTTGTATACTTCATTAATTTTGGTCGCCGACGCATTATACTTTCCTGCACCCAGACTTATTATATATACGACATTTCTGGTCATCAAAAACAATTATTAAACCTTTCTCAGTCATCTTGCTCACAGACAACAAATTTATTACAGCTTCTGGTACATACACAACATCAGTAATGGTTCTTTCTGCATTATGCTTAAATTTACTACAATCTCACCTGAGCCTTTACCAGACAACTTCTGGTTATTTGCAATAATAATCTCCTTTGATTCATTATCTGAATATTTAGAGAACCAGTCTTTTCGCATACTCATATGCATTGTGGAACCAGAATCAATCAACCAGCTACTCTTATCAAAACTTCCAACCACAAAGCTTGATGCTAACAGTAATTTATCCTCAGTCTTCCTACCTGACCATATCTTCTTACTTTTTTTTACTTGTTGGCAGTTTGCCTTAATGTGACCAATCTTTCCACGTTTGTAGTAGACTACTTCTTTCTTCACATAAGTGCCTTTGTTTATGCTCTTCAAGGCCAAAGCGGTTTCATCATTATTGCTTGCATCAACAACTCCTTTTCGATAGTCTTCAGAGAGCAACCGAGCTTTTACTACTTCACTGAATAATCTGTCATGGGTTGCTTCAAGTCCCATTATTAAAAGATCAAATTCAGGTGTAAAGCCACCCAACATTATTACAACCTCTTCGTCGTCTACTTTATGACCAATATCCGCTAGCTGCTGTACTAGTGAAACTAATGCACTGATGTAGTCTCCCATAGAGTTAAAATCTTCGTATTTGATTCGAAGCAATTTACATAGAAGTGTCAATCTTCGACATAAGCCCTTGTCTTCAAACGTAGTCTGTAATTTCTTCCAAGCTTCCTTGGATGTAGTCGTATCTCGAACATGAGCATAACATGAGGACTGTACATTTAAACAAATGTCTTTGTTAAAGCTCTTTAGTCTCGATTTGAGTCATTATCCGTACCGGTACACAATTCTAAAGTCCATCCATTATGAGAGACATTTTCATCAGGAACTTCCAGTTGTTATAGTTCTTACTACTTTCTAATTTTTCCAGCACATATCCACCACTGCCGACAATGATTGGCGTTTGTGGAATTCTACTACTTAAATTAGAATTTGGTCTTAAAAGATAGCAACCTTTAACTTTGAGAGACTGACAGCTGTACTATTTGGTACAGTAACATTGTTTCTCTCTGTAATCGCTATGCGCTCGGGATCGCGCCAGAGATGTCGCTTCCGAACGGCATCTCTAAGCGTTATCTAGAGAGAGGAGAGTGTCGTGAGCGTGGAACGTCAGGTAGCTCAGTGGTTTAGAGCAGTCGCCCGGTAAGCGAAAGACCCGGGTTTGAGTCCCGGCCTAGCAGAACCACGCTCTCGATATTTTGTTCTCTCTAGAACGAAAAGATAAGCAGATCTCGAACGCACGGCGTCCCGCCGCCACCTAGTATGCCCTCCTCCTTCTATGGTTATAAGTTAACAACAACTTGACTCTCGTCACGCGGCTCCTTAACCTCAAAAATTTTGAATAATAAACGAAACGCACAGTTCTGACTTACAAAGCGTTACTTACTAATAGTCAGACTTTCTAGGCCTGTAAATATGATAAATATCTGATAAATATGGTGCACAGAACACAAAAACAGAGCCAACTTTCAGTTAATCTCATTATATTACTACTATAGCCGGTACAAAAAAAAAAAAGGAAGAAAGATTCGCGCGCAGATTGCACATAATAATGTAGTCAACTTCTAGTAATCGAAAAAGAAAATATCCGACATTTTCATGAGAGTCGTCGTAACAAACTTAATTTCTATGTTCGTCGAATCTAAGTTATAAATCTTAACATAAACAATGTTTGATTAATCATTATATTTGCCCAACAAAAATATTAAAAACATATAGGTTAGGGGAATACAGGATACACGTGCGTCAAAAGTTGCGCGCTTTATGCGAGAAGAAACTCGCCTTACTTCTATGTTGCAAATATGTTATTGAATTTAAAAGGTTACTAATTATATGTTTTTGACATCAAAGAATCCGAATTTTATGTCAAAATTAAAGAATTTTCAAACCACGATGCACTATCATCTGTTTAATACGCACGGAAAATTCTTTCTTTTACATTGATTTGAGAACTAAGATTATACTTTTATAATATTGTTTGTTAAGTCAAATTGTAATAAACATTTTTAAAACATATAAACGTAGTTAACCTTTGAGCATTTTCTGGTAATGTGAATCACGATCCCGGAGTATAATCTTAATTCTCAAATCAATATAAAAGAAAGAATTTTCCGTGCATATTAAACAGACAATAATGCATCGTGGTGGAAAATTCTTTAATTTTGACATAAAATTTGGATTCCTTGATGTCGAAAATATAACTAGTAACTTTTTAAATTCAATAATATATTTCCAGTATAGAAATAAGGAGAGTTTCTTCTTGCATAAAGCGCGCGTGCCAGTTGTGGCACAAACACGGATGCACCTTTTGGCGCGCGTGCCAGTCAAGTGATTAATGATAAAAAAAATAAAGACACCAATTTATTTTAAATTTGTAATAATATATACGTATTTTTTCATTATGACTAACGTCTATGTCTCTTAATTCTTCAAAGGCTGTTATTCATAGTCGATTCTTATATTTAAGTTCATCTTAAGTTCATCTTCAGACGCTATATGGATCATTTCATTGGCTATGAAGTATCTGAAGATGAACTTAAGATGTAGGATCTAATGAAATTACATGCAGCGTAAAAGAGCTGCGGAATATAGAGACTCTCAAGTAAGAGACCTGCAAGCTTCGAGCGATTGCAAGAACATGGCTGCCTCCGTGACGCATCATATGGTTATATGTACACGTAAATAAACAATATAAATATCTATAAAATATAAAAAGTACGAAAATAAAAACAATATTATTGTACAAGAGTACAATGAGTATGTTGTAAAATAGTTGTGAAAATTGAAAACATTATAATCATATTTTTATCCTGTATTATATTGTATATTTAGTTCAAATAATATATGATAGACAAAGACAGAGAGATAGTATCCATTTTGGATACTATCTCTCTCGTTTCACACTCATCGAGCAGAAACAAAGATGCTCCTTCCAATATGTCATATAATGGTTTTCTCATGGTTCTTAAATATATGACATTTTATAACAGCTTATAAAATGTGTTTCAGAAATATTTCTAAATGACACGTATTACCTGCTATTATAATTAAATATGTGATATTTATAATATTTTTGTGCTACTGATTGTTTCGAAGCCTTTGTACGATTAACATCATGCTTCATATCATAAGTAGGGAGTATCTTAATGATTTTTATCAGAGAAATTAAATTAAGTTAAACATATAAAAATTATAGAAATTTTAATCTTAAAAATAAAACGGCCAGGTATATGCCATACACAAAGCGGCGTTCTAGGATTAATACTGTATGGGATTAAGAAGAGAAATACAATACACGCATACACACACATACACACACAAACACGCGCGTGCCCATACACAACACAAACATATTTATTTATTTATTATAATTATTTGCATAGAAGTGTGTGTGTGTGTATGTGTGTGTGTGTGTGTATGTGTGTATGTGTGTGTTTATGTGTGCGTGCGTGTGCATATGCGTGTGCGTGGAGGGTGGGTACGTGTGTATATGTGTACGTGTAGTTATTTTATTTGTATTATGACAATATTATATTTTAATATTTTGTTGTAGAACAAGTTTGCAGTACGGCATTTCCTGTTTAAAACGACTAAATTACGATAGGCAGCAATTAGAAGAAAGAAGACGAATGGCAGAAGGTGCCAATATAGACGTACTTGTATGGAGTAATGATCGTGTTATAAGATGGGTACAGTCAGTTGGTTTAAAGGTTAGTTAATTTTCCAGTATTTATCTGTCTGTAATCAACTATTTGTGATAAAATTAATATTTGCATTTACTTTAACAGGAATACGGAAATAATCTCTTGGAATCGGGTGTACATGGCGCACTTGTAGCTCTCGATGAAAGTTTTGATGCCAACAGTTTTGCGTTAGCATTGCAAATTCCCACTCAAAACACACAGGTAAATAACACATTTAATTTAATTTGTATATTGTATTGAAATTTGATGTTTATTAAGGTTTACAATCTAGTGAATATCAATGAACAGTAACATTATGTTAATTTCTCATATGGAAATATTTTGCTGAAAATATAATGTTTTATACTGTGCAAATCTGTATTAATTAGTTCCATTTCATTATTATTTTATTAAATCTTCGATAAATATATATTTCATTACACAAGTTGAATGTATCGAGAACATTTAATGAAAATTTAATAAAATTCGTTGAAATTCAGTAATTACTTTCTCAATTAGTATTTCTCAATTAGTACTTTCTCAATTAGTATTATACAGAATATTCCAATTAAAAGAAGTCAGCCGAATATTTCGAAAACTGAACCTTTGAGGGGAAAAACAATGGTGATCTTAAATTTTAATTAATCATTCGCTAAGATTTTGTTGAGGTAAACAAAATATTTTTTTTTTTTAATAAAAAGTAACTTTTGTAGTAGATTCTAAAAAATCGCTTATTTCTGCATAGCAAATTCTTAATACGTATACAGGGTGTCTCAGACCACCATGATCATACTTTGCGAAAACGTAAAACGGATTGAGGTGAGCAAGAAAGTCCGGTGCAGTTTTGCGATATTCGCAATAGTTTTTGAGAAATTAATTATTAATTATTTCTAATTATTAATTAATTATTTTGTCTGAGCTAATAAGTGCACGGGAAGCGGCAGCCGAAAGAAAGATGTCTTCGGTCAGCGCGCGACCTGACACACGAGAATCGCGGCTCGCTGCATCCTTCCGCCCATAGCTACGAGACACAGCGAGGCTTGATACACTAACACATGTGCATGACGGTGTGCCGAATCGACTTCGAATCTAAAAGTGTGTTGCCGCTTCGCTGTTTCACTTCTATATATACGTATGCAGCCGAAGTGACAACACACTTTGATTTTGCGTTGAATCGACACACGGATATGTTATGCACATGGTAGTGTATCAAGCTTCGCTGTGACTCGTAGCTATGGACGCAGGGACGCAGCAAGCCGCGATTTGCAAGTGTCACAGTCGCGCGCCGGCCAAAGATATTTTTCTTTCGGCTGCTGCTTTCCGTGCTCTCATTAACTCAGACAAAATAATTGATTTCTCGAAAATTATTGTGAATATCGCAAAACGGCACGGATTTTTCTGCTCACATCTATCTATTCTACGTTCTCGCAAAGTGATCATGATGGTCTGGGACACCTTGCATAATCAAACTCTAATAATTTTGGAGTTATTTAGCAATGAAAAATGCAACTTCTCCTTTATTTTCATCAACAACGACATGCACATGAATTTATGTTATGTTCAAGATATTTGGCTGTACTGGCCGATGAAAAATTTTTCATGTAAAATTATGTATGAAATTTGTCCATACATAATTATGTATAATTATATATAATCATATAAAATTATATATAATTATACACAATTATGTATAACAATATGTATAATTACATGTAAATCTATGCGTAATTATGTAAAATTATATATGAATTTATATATATAATTATACATAATTATGTATAATTACATATATAAGTAGAATGTATAAACATAAATGGACAAATTTGATACATAATAATATATAATTATGTATATATATATATATATACATATATATATATATATATATATATATATATA